GAAGTTTTGGAGTCCGATTTCTCTGATCACAAGCCTGTCAGCATTACGTTTCCTACTAAATCAGACGATGAAATTCGACCAGTAGCCTACTCCAAATCCTCCTTTGACTATACTACGTTCTCCGTGATGCTTAATTCTGGTTATAATGCTCTGCAGTATGCCCATTTGTATGATGACTTCAGCGTGGTGATTTTCTCAATTCTAAATGAGAGTGTGCGTGTTTCTTCCTACCGTAAAAGACTCAAACGTCAAAATCTGCCGTTTTATTATTCTTCACATACGGTCCACCTTTTAAATAAACTTGGCACCCAGAAAAAGCGCAATCCCATGCACGATCATAGCACTCTTGTAGACAGTCTAAATGTGTCAATGGAACTTGACAAGGTCTGCTTCCTGCAATCCTATGAGACTATGGACGTCAATTCTTGCTTCAAGATTTTGAAAAGCTTGAGCAATTCTTCTCCCTACCCAGGCACAATGCATTTTGCAAAAAGATCTGCTTCCACTACTATTGAGAAGGCAAATCTTTTTAATGACTTTTTTGCGTCTGTCTTCAAGACCTCCGGGGATATTCAGATTACCAGCCTTAGTACTTCTTCTACCATTGAGTTGTGCAAGGTGTCTGTTAGTCATGAAAAAGTCTTACATTTTCTTCAGTCGGCAAATGACTCTGCTTCTGTCTGCTGTGACGATGTCCCGCCGGCTTTCCTAAAACATTGTGCATTTCAACTGAGTCCTCTAGTGGCTGCTCTCTATGAAGACATTTTAAAGCGAAAAAAGTGGCCCGATGTTTGGAAAACTGCGTACATAACTCCTCTTTACAAGAAGGATAGCCACAGTGATGTGTCCAATTATCGTCCCATCAGCCTGCTACCGAAACTTTCCCTCGGTCTGGAGCGTATCTTATTTGATTACATTTACACTAGCATTAGGCCGAAAATTACGAAATACCAATCCGGCTTTATGTCAAGGCGTTCAACTGTCACGCAACTGTTAAACTTCTGTGATGAGCTTCATAGGAATCACGAACTTGGTATTTCGTCTTTTGTTTTTTATGTGGATATCAAAAAGGCGTTTGACTCGGTTCCTCACCATAAATTGCTCAAAAAACTTGCGGATTTCGGTTTGGATGTTAGCTTTCTCCAATTACTTAAAAGTTATCTTTCTGGACGCTTTCAACGTGTGCGAATCAATGGTGTGCTCTCTGATTTTGTGAGCATTATGAGTGGTGTCCCGCAAGGTAGTATTCTGGGGCCGTTATTGTTCTTGTTATTTGTGAACGATCTTCCTGATTATCTCTTATCCAAGCCATCCCTCTTTGCTGATGATCTGAAATGCTGCAGTACCTCTGTTCCCGTACTTCAACGCGATCTAGATGCTGTTATCAATTGGTGTGGCGAAAATTCTCTCGATTTACATCCTGTCAAATGTAAAGTCCTGAAGTTTTTTAACCACAGCTCTGAAAACCCAGATCTCTATATTGGTGATCACAAAATCGATGAATCTTTAGACGTCAAAGATCTTGGGATCATTTTCAGTTCTGATTTATCGTGGTCGCACCATGTTTCTGAAAAGTTATTCAAGTGCAACAAAGTGTACTTTATGTTAAAGCGAAATGTTCCGAGCAGTACTCCGAGACAAACGAAGGTTCGGCTCTACAAAGCATGTATTCTATCTGTGCTTACTTATGGTTCTTCTATCTGGATACCTAACAAGACCGACTTATCCAAGCTCGAAGCTTTCAACAGAAGATGTGTGAGATGGATCGGTCTGTCAGGTGATTATAAAACGTCACTGATAAAGTTAGGAATCTATCCTCTGCCATATCATATTGAAATCTCAAATCTTCTGTTTTTCCATAAACTGTTTCAGGACAAGTACGATTTAAACCCCTTCGATTTTGTTGATATAAATGACCCATCTGTATCATTACGGAGTGTTGATATATACTCTTTCAAATTAAAGAAGCGAAAATACGAGAAGACAAAGTCCTTTTATTTTGACCGTATTCCTAGACTATTGAATTTCATGAAGCTTGATGTCCGTCTATCATTCCCCCGGTACAAGCGTGAAGTTATGAAGTTCTATGATACGAAGCTACGTCAAACATTCGAAGAAAACATTCCGTGTACTTGGTATGGAAAGTGCTGCTGTACCTTCTGCCGGTCATAGTTTATTTTATATATTTATATTTTTTTTTTTCGTTTTATGTTTGCATTTCATTATTTGTGATTGTAAACTCCCCACGGGGTAAATTAAGCCTTCCTCTCTCTCTCTCTCTCTCTCTCGAAGCTTTTCGTGAAGTTTGCTATCAAACATACGGGCTGGATTGCGCCTGTTACTTCACGGCAAGTAACCTTTCCGGGGACGCCTTTCTAAAAGTTTGTAAGCCCGAACTGAAACTCTTAACGGACCGTGAACATCTAGACCTTGTGCAGCGAATGATACGAGGAGGCATGTCGTCGATTTACGCGCGCCGATTTTACAAAGCAAACAATAAATACCTCGACGATTTTTCGCCCTCAGAACCATCAAGCTACATCCTCAATATTGATGCAAACAATTTGTACGGGGGGATAATGAAACACTGCCCTTTGCCCTTAAACGATTTTTCAATAGTTGAAAAAAGTCTGGCAGACATACTGCTCACCAGCGAAACATCAGAATGGGGTTATATAGTTGAAGTCAATTTAACCATACCCGAAGAGCTTCACGACTTCTTTGCTGATTACCCCCTTGCCCCCTCTCGTGAAGTAGTGGACATCGGTGCAATGAGCAACGAGCAAGTCGACATGTTGGGAAAATTGGGAATCACCACACTGCCAAAAGTGCCAAAGCTTCTACAGACCTTGCATCCTAAAGAAGGTTATGTTTTGCACTACCTTACCCTAAAATTGTACCATGAGCTAGGAATGAAAATAACTCACCTCGGAAAAGTTCTTCAGTTCCGCCAAAGTCACTGGATGGCACCCTTTGTTGACCTCAACACCCGCCTACGAAAAGCCGCGGTAAATAAATTCCAGGAGAACTTCTACAAGCTAATTGTTAGTTCAGCTTTCGGTAAGACAATGGAGTCTAAGTTAGGAAGAAAGAAGCTGGAGATTGTAAGGAATGAGAGAGAACTTTTACAAAAAACAGCTCTGAGCACAATGAAAAGCTTTCAAATCATTGACGATCAATTAGCCACAATTAGCTTTTCAGTAACAAAAATATTGTGGGATAAACCTATGATAGTTGGTGCGACCATCCTAGACCTCGCCAAGCGTTTCATGTTTCAGTTTCACTATCAAAAAATGAAACCAAATCTAAACTTGGAACTCCTTTACTCCGACACGGATAGTTTTATTTACGCCATAAAAACTGATGACGTTTACCGAGACTTGGAGAAAATAAAAGCTGATTTCGACTTTTCAAATTACGATAAGGACCATTTCTTGTTCGAGGATACCAACAAGAAAGTTGTGCTGAAGTTCAAAGACGAGACTGGTGGGAAGCCGATCAGAGAATTCATCGCCCTAAAACCGAAACTATATTCGGTCGTCCTTAATGGTAAATAAAATTTAAGCCACCCTTCCACCCCCCATTCCTACCTTTTACAGAACAAAAATACCACCACCAACCTACCTACACCCCTTAATTTGTTGCATTAAACTATGGGCATTTAGCTGATTTAGGCAACATTATACAATGTTGCCTAAACGTTGATTTATCTGACAACATATTCCCCCTTGTTTCCTCTTTTTTAATCATAATTTAGAGTCTTCTGCTCTTTTTTGGTAAAATGAATCAAATTTTGTTCGGTATAAATTGAGTTGCTGAAGTGAAATGAAGCTATCCCCAACGTTGTAGAAAAGAATAATAATTTTGCTATTGTTTAGAAGGCACTCAAAAATTGAGTGCCAAAGGAATTAAACGGAGTGCACAGAGAGAACTGGTCCACCAAACCTTCAGGGACACATTATTCACTGGAAAAACAATGAGAGTATACAACTATAATATAGTTTCGAAAGGTCACACCAATATGACAGTGAAACAAAACAAACTTGCATTATCACCATTCGACTCAAAACGTTTTCTACTTTTCGACGGAATTTCGACAGTGCCCTTTGGCCATAAAGCCGCTGAAGAAAATGCTTTTCTAGAAGACATTTACATGGACACCGAGTGGGCCAACTCATACAATGAAACTGATAACAGTTCTCCCGATTTTACACTCCCGGATTGGGGATTTTTACAGCGGCCCTACTCAGAAGCAGAGCTGCAAGAAGAAGAAGAAGCTTCTAGTAGCCGAGTCCGTGAACGTCCCCCTATAAAAAACCCATTTATTTTATCTGAAGCTTCAGAAGAACGACCATCTAAAAAACACCGCAAAGAAAACCAAAACAATAAACATTAAAGTCTGAAACATATATTTTCAGATGATTTTTACTCTTCGTCCTTTTTATACTTCGACTTGTATATGTTTTGGTTTTTACCAATTTACAACTAATAAAATGCTCGTATTGAGCTCAATCACTGTTTTAACATAAATAGCTTCAGGCAAATAAACTAGTAGACATAAACCAAGTGTTAATTCAAACAAATGTGTGAAATCCTTAGGCTTGTTTTGAATAATAAACTTTAATAGCATGACAAATCTTTGACGAAAAGAAAGAAAGCCAGGAAATGATATCCACATGAAACTAGGACGAAAAAAGAAAAGTTCAGGAATTAGGACGATTAATTTTAATTATCGCGGGAAAAGGGACCGCTTTCAAAGGAATTAGAAGGAATTATTGTATCGCGTCCCGGTTGTTGAGCTCAGCTTAACAAGATCCTAAGGAGGGGGTCTTTTACTTTAGGGGTGGGAACTTGCGATCATTTACAAAATCCTAGGATAGGGGTCCTCCAAAAAATTAAGGACCCCTTTCCTAGGATTTTGCTTTACGTGAGGACCCCCCCCTTAGGAAGGACCCCCCCTTAGGATCCGGGACACGATACAATACTACTCAGGGCACTCGGCAGTGGCTCGGTCGCGCCAGTGAATGCCGTGATGTTCAGTTGGTTCCACATGAACAAAGGCTGATTCAAATGAAGATCTCAGTGGAGGTTTGGAACAGAACGATGCACCCATTGTTTACTTACGGAGTCTGTTTTCCTCAAAGGTGCTCTGACCAAGATGTCAAAGTAATCGCTGATATACTCATAAATAATGACAAAAATTTGAAAGATGACATAAGTGTTGTAGCTGTATATAGCACTGACAATGGTGAGTTTGATTTCACTTTTGGACTGGCTTGTTTCGTTTTTGGAATCATCGCGTTGCTGATTGCGGTCGGAACCGGCATGGACTATTTAATCGATTACATGAAGGAACAGCTTGTGAAATCGGAGAACAGTTATCAATCAACTGACGATGGCGCAATCAATGAAGGGAATGAAGAGAAGGAAAGCGAGAGCTCGGTTCTGCTGGAGAAAAGTGAGCGGAGACGATCTATGAAGGTTGAGCATCTAGCGTGGTGTAGATTCCTTGTATCTTTCTCACTTGCGACAAATATTCCAAAACTACTTTCGACCAAGAGTGGCGAAGGTGCCATCTTGTGTCTGAATGGAATCAGAGTTCTCAGTTTGGGCTGGGTCATTTTGGGCCATACCATGTATTACCTTCTCTTCACTGAACCGGCTGGTCATCTCTACTGGAACAACTACTTCTTCTCTTTCAATTACTTCCAAGTGTTCGGCTTTCAAGTAATCGGCAACGCCACCCTTTCGGTCGATTCCTTTTTCGTCCTAAGTGCCTTTCTGCTCACTTTACTCACTCTGAAGAAGATGCAACAATACGAGGGCAAAATCAAACCCATGTTTTGGGTCATGTTTTACGTAAGAAGATACATCCGGCTAACACCGGCATTGTTATTGATCATTTTGTTCACAGTGGGAATCTGGAAGGTGCTCGGAAACAACACAGTTCCTCGATGGCAGCCGAATTTAAACGAAGTGGAGGGATGCGTGCATGCTTGGTGGGCAAATTTGCTGTACATTAACAACTTATACACCACTTACGAATGTCTTCCCTGGACATGGTACCTGGCTAATGACTTTCAATTCTACTGCTTGTCTCCTGTTTTGGTAGTAGCCATGTACAAACGACCAATGCTTGGTGTTGGGTTGACTGCAGGCCTAGTTATGGTTTCGATGCTTTCAAATTTCGTTGAAAGTATGGTCAACGATTATCCGGCGGCCACTTCGTTCCTGTTAAACTACGAATCTTTTCCCGTCTACAATTTTGATGGAGTCTTCAATGCTCTGTACATTAAACCGTGGAATAGATTCTGCTCTTATGGAGTCGGAATGATTTTGGGTTTCATAGTATTCAAAAGTCCAGCGAAAATAAAGGTTGCCAACAAGCTTTATATCGCTCTAGGTTGGCTTGCTTACACTGTGGTTTCAATGTCCGTTTTGTATGGCCTCTATGGCGTGGCCCAAGGTCATTTTCCTTCTAAATTCATGTCCGCGGTGTACAATGCATTTGGAAGGGTCGGATGGAGTATCTCAGTCTCATGGCTAATCTGGGCCTGCATGTATGGCTATGCTGGATTCATAAACTCTTTTCTATCGATGCGATTGTGGATCCCATTAGCCAGAGTGACGTACATGACGTATCTCATTCATGTTCTGGTCATTCAGTACATATATCTAACAGCAGATAGCACTTTCAACTATACGCCCATCACCTATGCGGTCCAGTTTTGCTCCAACATAGTGCTGGCTTTTGGCTTTGGATTCATAGCTGTTCTTATGCTGGAATCCCCTATTGTGGGAATCGAGAAAATTCTGATGGGCTGATGGGAATGTTAGGGCAGTGAAGTGAGGGGCTATTAGAAGAAATGGATTTAATAGAAAGAAAGGTAAAACATGAATTTTCAGCCAGACTTAGCCGCTTGACTGACAGCTTCTCTTTCTAGCTTTTGCCAAATAAATGTCTTTATTTTTTTTGTGTAAAATAATAATGAATCCGTTTTGGAATGCATTGTTTGCCAATAATATACCGTCCTTGATTGTCAATACTGAAATATTTAAATTTTCAATTAAAAAATTTTAGAAACTGCTTTAATAATTGAAGCGTTATAGATCAAATCATATTGGAATCAAAATACGTGATAAGCTGTAGGGAACGTTTTTGGCGCTCATCGCTAAAATGTGAATTATTAATTCAAAATTTGAATAAAATAAGGCCGCTTTCAGCAGCCTTCCATCTGGTCACTACTGTTCTGTTACACTTCTACCAAAGAAGATACATTTAGATGCCTTTAAAATGACAGAGAAGTTGCAACAACATTCTCTTGTTGAAATTGAACCATACCCGCTTTCAAAGTGCGCTGTGTTAAAACGTGTACACCGCTCTGGAAGCAAAGAGACCTCAAGAGAACTGTCGCGAATCTCGGAGAGAATAGATTTGCACAACCCAGAATGGAATTGTAGTTGCGGAGATTTAAGACACGATACTGATGATGAAAATCGAAGAAAAAAACATCACCGATACGGTTGCAGAAACTTCAAACGAGTAATGTGAGTCAGCGATGGTTTCTAGATAAAAAATGGAGATAATGTTGGTTCTCTGCAATCAATTTATAAAAGACATTTTTACGCTTGCGATCAAATCCGAGAAAAAAGATGTTTTTGTTTGGGTTAACAACTTGACAGCTAGTTTAGCAAAACCAGTTGAATCACGAATGATGCTACTGAAATGCTGGTTTTCATGAAAATTCATATTTAACTACTGGTTACTAGTACATACTATATCTAGAACTTAAGCCATTGTAGGTATAATTAAAGTTCGATATGAATTTTCTGCTAATGATTTTGTCTTCATGGTTGTCGAAAGAAGTCTGTCGGTTTTGATGCCAAATTCTGTAGTCCACTTCGATTTCGCGTCTTATTTAGTGATCGTGGATCTTATCTAGGCGTGTCATGGAATTTTTTCTAATATAATTTTTTGACATTTAATTGAGTTTCAGCATATTGGCTGTCAGCTTACTTGCTAATTTTTTTTCCTGAAAAAACATTTGAGATCGATAAGACTCTGGCAATAATTTTAAACGCCCAAAGTCAACTCCACTAGGATCTCTTCAAAAAAGTTTAATAATTTCAAAGACGAAAAATGTTTTTAATCTTTTTTTAGTTATTCCCATTCCTTCGCCCATTGTAGCGTCGTTCGAAGTTCTGTACGCTAATTTGTGAGCGTCTTGGTGCTATCATGATACAATTGTTGTATCACAAGTGGTTTGAAGCTCAACTTTGCTTTTGTGTACGAATGACCTTTTTTGACTAGTGAATGAGTGTTATAAAACACGAAAAACTATAGTAGCTAAAGGGCGGAAGTTGTATCTGCATAAAATGTAACTTTCTCTTATCTGGTTTAATAATCATACGAAATAAGATACTCTACTACAAGGTGCTTTTACGAAGCGAGTGTATTAGTACGAACCTTCTTTTTTTCTAACCTTTACAAATATTAGTTCCATTTTTGGGGCACCTTTACAGCTTCTTCATAGCATGTGCTTTGACATTCGAAAAGTAATGAATTAACACAGCATTTTTGATTCATCGAATGAACCGAAAAACCACAACAATCATGAAAACTATTTCCAAATTTTTCTGACTCAATATATCTCGCAATTTTTTTGGAATGCATAATTTATACATCATGTTGCTTTATGCTTTGCAATTCGCTTCACGCAAATTTAGTGTGGATGCCTTCAGCTTGTTATATTCACAATTATTACTCAAAAAATTGAGTCTACTTGTATTTGGTGCCACTTTCGCCGAAATGCATTGGCAATTTATTAGCATATGTAGCTGCTTTATTCGTGACTAGCGTTTGTCGGTTGTTCAGCTTGCGTAGCTGAGTGGATAGTGTGTGGGACTCAAATTCTCTTGTTTGCAGTAGGTCGCAGATTCGAATCCTACACGTATCCGAGTTTTTGCTAATTCACGGCCTAATTTTACTTTTTCCTAATTCACTTGATAGAACTGCTTTTTGGTCGTGTTCTCGCAAGTGTTGGCGAAGCGCAGCTTCCCCTCTGTATAAATTTTTTTAAAATAAACAATCTCTCATTTCACCACTACCTAATTTGTTAGCAATAGGCAATAAAAATATTTCCAAGTTCTAATGATTCGTGTGATCAAGTTTGCCGAATTCCAATGATTCAGTTGATATTTTTTGTTCACGTTTTTTTTTGTGTGTTAATAGAATTTCCTTGAGCTCGACAATTCCAGACAGCGTTGAGTTAGGTTAAACGGATGAATCGAATAAACGGACTAGTTTTTCCAAACAGTTTTCTACAGATAGGGCATAATTTAGACAAAAAACTATGGAATTGAAAATTGCGTGTTTTAAGCTGGAAACTTAAGGATGCAAATTTTACTGACCAATTTTGTAGAAGAAAAATCATCCTTAAATCGTTCCCAATCTATCATTTTTCTTAATAATAAATTTCAAGCAATTTTTGTGGCGATTGTTTTTCGCAACCCAACAACGTAACTCAACTTTACAAAAATGAACTTGAGATAATTAGTTTTGTTTGGTTTTTCCAGTATTTTTGACTCTTGCTATATAAGCTTATTCAGCTCAAAATGCGCTGAAACTTCAATTAACCCCAGTGCACTGGAGTGCTGTAGAAGCTCAAATAAGGGCGAGAAAAAGAACTGATTGAATCATCAAAATTTTATCAATTTTTGCTGCTTAATTCAAAAAGTATTCAAACTGCATAAGTATCGATGAAATAAAAGATGCTTAGTAAAATATGTTTTAAAAACATCCTGCAGATTTGTTCTGTACGGCAGGTTTCACGTATGCTTTGTTTTTATTTATAGTATAGGATTTTCAGCATTTTCTCAATGAGCCGAAAATTATAAATAATGGAAGTGACAATTAATAAAGAAGCTAGTCAGAAAAAACAAGCGATAATCGAATGAATCAATTTTTGCCGCTTCGCCTAATGCCATTTTTTTTTATGTCATAGAGACAGAAAACTGGAGCTAAACCTCACCTATGTAGGCAAAAAGAGCACTGATTTGCCTTCATCTGCGCTTTGTTTTCAAGTTTTAACCAAGCGTTTTATGATTTATTAACTACAATGCTGATGCAACAAAAAAACGTTAATTTGAAAACGAGTTTTCATATTGAGTTGATTTGAGCCAAAAGAATGAGGAAGAGAAGTCTTTTTTAAGCTTAAGAACAATGTGGTGCAATTTTGCAAAATTCGGGCACAAAATTTTACCCCAAAATCGATCTCTGTTAGCTGTTTTTGATCAACTAAAGTATGAACCAAGAAGTGTTCAATTGCTGAAAAAAATAATTTCTAAAATTGGTGCATTTTTTAAAGAAATTATAGTTTTATTTTGGTCGTGATAATTTTTTGACAAATTGTAATATCAAACAAAAGGTATAGAGGTCATGAAAACGTAATGGACTACTAAATGGACGTTTTTGTTGTGAAGTTTTACCGAATCTTGGGTACTGATCAACAATGAGCTGATTTTTTTTGGACGGATTATTTTGTTTAGTAAGCTGAAGCTGCAGATACTTTTTAGCTTTCAAGATGAGTAATTATTCTCTTCATCAAACATAATAATAATAAAAAAAATAAGTTTTGTGTTTTTCCTCAATAGTTTTGTCGGCATGAAATTGTTAGTTCAGAGTATGCCATATCTGTTTTTTAATGAGATCTACTTGTGTTGAAGGATAATCCATTTCTCCTTGCATTTGTATTTTTTCCTTTTGTTGGGGTTGTACTGCAAGGATCCACTTTGTTCACTTCAATTAGGTTGTTGAAAATACAATTTTTAAGTAGTCGTCACCTGGTGCTTCTGTATACGTATGAATCGATGTCTCTGCGAGTCTCCTGAAGCTTAAATAACGGTGAAGGGCGTGTCGGCAAATTATGAAACACTCCTTTATGAAACTGTCCTTTGCGGGGCGCCAAAATGTTTGCTCAACCTGAAAGTTTTGTTTATAGTGAGTTTAATTATGGCCATATTTTCGGTAAACGCACTCACCAATAATAGAAACATCTTAATCGGTTTAAAAAGTCGGGATCACAATATCAACTTTTTTCGTTACAAGTTTTTGTATGAGAAATTGGCACAAGCTAGCCAAAACAACAGGCGAAACAAGCGTCTTAATTATGGCTGAACCGAGTTAGAACTAAAAAAAAAAAACAGTAGAAAACGACGGTCAAATGAGACATTAGCCACTCGCGTCGACTTGTTTCAAGATCAGCAAGCTAATTGTTCTAGATATTTCTCGTCTATACTCAAATCCAATTAAACAGAAGTTAAAACCACTTCTGAATCATAAACCATCTCGATGGCAATAGATTTCTGAGAAAAAAGTACATTTATGGAATACGGCTTAAGTCTTAGGTAATCTTCCTTTTTTCTGGTTCTCTTCGGACGTGATTCCGGTCGCTACCTTAAGTAGGAGATGCTCTTTATATTTTAATTGATCTTGTAAAACCGGGCTAAAAGATCACAAATGGAAGAGGACAATCATTTTCTCCTCTTTTGCCTAAGACAGATTTAAGAGCAGATCTGAAGAATCTCATTTTCTGTCCAGTTTTGTGAGTCTCGTTGTCAGTTTCATTATTTTATGATGTTTGGAAAGGTACACTGAGTGGGGCAGGAGCAAGAGACACGTGCTCCTTTCCATCCCCAGACCCATCGGCGGAAGAGGGAGAGCCATTTCCGCTAACGAGCCCCATGTGTCTTTGGAAGAACTGTTGCTGCAGCAGAGCCAGGCCAAAAACAAGGAAGGGGTCAGAGAAATGGTCAAAATTGAGACGTCTATGAGTCAGCGTGTTGTAAGTAAATGATTTTTCTAATCCATTTTCAAAATTTTGCCTTCTCATTGAGAAAAACTTGTATCTGCCGCTGGGTAAAAAAATAGTGTGGTAGTGTAAAGGGCAGTATAGTGTGTGAAGGGCAGTGTAAAAGTGTGTGTAAAGGGCGAAGGGTAAAAAGTTACGGGGAACACCCGTAAGGAGCTGTAAATGATTGACATGCAGGTAACAAAGAATACATTGTTAAGGGGTCATCGCGATGCAAGAGGAATAGCCCTATATCAAAACAGTGAAATACTTTTGTGATTAAATTCAATGCGAGTAAAAGAAAACGTCAATCATTTTGCTTGATATTTGTTCTCAGATTGTTTTATGATTTTCAGAACTTAAAAATTACATTGGTTTATTGCATTGCATTCAAGAATCAGGCAGGTTTTTTCAAAGTGTTGCTTTATAAACAAGCTTTTTAAATAAGACTTTTTGTTCTTTGCTAAATAACCTAATTTTGATTACTTCTACGACTATAGAGTGTTATCAAATCGTTGATTAGTCTTTATTTCTGTAAATCACTTTCAGGAACATTTTTTCGAGCTAGTTTATAATCGATATACTTACGCATGCTATTAGCAAGCGTTATCAAATCGGAATGTAGACTTTTTCGTGTTATCAACTAGTTTAACAAAATCACTGAATCATTTGTGCAGCATTCATTTCTGCAGCCAACATATTCGATTTCCTAAAAATTCAAAATTGACTATTTGTTACGAACCCTAGTTGACGGCTACAGGCCTAGGCTTGGATCCGGTTAGGACATATTTTTTTAAAAACATAAGTAATTAGTACCAGAAAATCATCGCCCTCTCAGTTGTCTGGTCATGTTTATACGGTTTAGCTTTCACATTTCTGACGTTTCTTGCGCTATAAGCTAAGTTTTGCATATGAAAGTGTCTTTGATTCTTTTTTACCTTTGCGATAAGCAAGGGCATTGAAATCGGGTACTAGCTTTTTTCCCGTTATTAAATTGTTCACAGAATAGCCAAAATTACAATGGTAAATTTAGGTTCAGCTCAAAGTAATTTCCAATTTCTTTGCTTCTGCGGCGCACTTGGTCAGGAGGTAACGCATACGCTTGCAACGGCGAAGGTCCTAGGTCCAAATCTGACAGGACCTGGTTTTTTTATCAAACGAAAGTATTTCGTATCAAAAAAATTGTCGACCCATAGTTTGTCTGCTTATATTTTGCCGGCTTAATTGCCGCATCGTAGAACTTTTTTCTATACGCAATTTATATTGTAGTTGCTGCTAGCGTTTTGATATACTTCGGCTGTTTGTAATTTTTTGAATTTTTTTCGAAATACTTTTTGAAATTTTTGAAATATCTGACAGACGTAGTTAAAAAAAAATTTCTGCCAAACTGATTTTTTTCGGCTAAGTGAACCGTACATTTTTTCGGCTAAGTGAACCGCATTTTTCGACTGAGTGAAACGTAATTTTTATGCTCAGCTCTGGATAGTACAATTTGCGAAAATTTTAAGAAAATTTGTAACTCAAGTTTTTCATGGCAAATTTTTTTTCCTTTTTAGTTTTTTATTTTTCGTTTCTGGCTTGATTGGTTTCGTCCATTATTATATCGGCTGAATGGCCTCACATAGCGTCTTTCGACCAGCTGAAAAAAATTGCGCATGCGTGCATGCTTTTAGATTGAGGGGAACTTAATTATGTTTCATTAGTCTTTATTTTTTCAATTTGCTCTTTCGTTTTTTGTTGTGTTTGCTTCTTTTTAAATTTCTTCAGATGCTTATTTCTTATTCTTTTGTCTTGGCATATTGTTGTTTCAAAAACAGCCTGATTTAGTTTGATAGTTTTAGTTCTTTCTTACTTTCACACGTGTGCAAATTAAGCGTTTGATATCGCTCTTTTGGACTATGGCGTACAAAATATGTCCGGTATCGGAATCGGCTAGGAGCTGAACTTATATTTTGGTTTGAACATTTTTTTTTGGATTTTTGTGGTTCTTCATATCTGCCTATACGTTTTTCAAAAAATATCATTTTTTTCTTATTCGCGCCAGTTTGTGATTTTCTCAACTGTGAAGATTAATGGTTTCCTAGATTTTTTGTGGAAATTACAGAACATTTTCCTGGATTTTCTTCACACATTTTTTCCCACAGATTCAAAATTTGAACAGATTTTCATGTCGTTTTTATTCCGAACTGATGAAATAATCTAATTACAACACTTTGAAAACAATAACAATTATGTTTCATTGTTTCAGGTATAATAACTTTGCCTAAATTGTGAAGTGAGAATCTTATTTTTATTAAACTTGCGAGAGCATGTGTCTTGTAATAGTGAACTAGGCTTTATCCCGGAAACAATTTTTCTAACCCATCTGTAAGAAAATGTGAATTTGTTTTATTGTTGAATCTTTAGCAGTCACTGGGTTCGAGTCCCGGCCGGACCTTGTTTTTTTCTGTATATATGACGCTTTGTCGGCTGAGTTGCCACATCGGAGAATTTTCTTGTGCTATCAGCGAGCTTCATCGTAAATGTAGGTGTTTTTGGTTATTTTTGGCCCTTTGCAATATTGATACCCGTTAGTTATATATTTTTCTTGGTTTTATATTCTCTTTTTTTTCGCTTAAACATTTTTTTGACCTGAATAGGTTCGGTCTGTTTTTTATTGGTTTACGTACTTTGTTTGGAGTCGCTTCAAACCCAAAAACATTTTCTTATGAGACTTCTTGTTTCTGGCTCAAGTGTCGTCTGCAGACTTGTTTTTGACTTTGGTGACACTCGGCAAATACTAGAAGCCTATTTAATGCCCGTGGTTGTGTTTCTCGACAGTTTTTCTCAAAATAATGTCATGTTTTTTCTTAAAAAAGTGTTTTTTTTAATCAATTTTGTTATTTCAGTCTCATTATTTTTTGCCTTTGTATGAAATCGTATTATGATTTAGTGGGTTGGAAATGGGACTTTTCATGCTCTAAGAGATCAAGGCTGTGGAAAACACGAAGTTTGCCGCTGTTTTTTTCCTCGGACATTTTTTTACATCTGAACACTGACCCATGTTTTAGTATCACAAGTGCTCTCTGTGTAGTTTTTGATCAACTGGTTTCGCATTTGTTGAGTTATTCGGATATGTAGAGCTAGGGTCATGATCCTTCCATACTCTTGGACAACAGCTTCCACCTCTGATTTTCACTGAGATTAGTAGCCCCATAGATCGTGACCCTTAGAGAGTGCTGTTGCTCTTGCTTAGCAGTCATTGTAGTTGAGTTCATTGACTCCCACTGTACTTCATATGATAAAATTGCTCTCATAGAGTAGGTCAGCCAATATCAACGGCTCAATTTGGTTATGTGGGTATACAGGAGCCAGTTTTATTGGTATATATTGACAGCAGGAGCCAGATAGGAAGTACTTCCGCTACTCGCGTGAGTTGGAGAAGAGGGCGATGAGAGAATGCAATTTAGAAGATATTCTGGTGGAGAGACTGACTCGCTATGACCCCAGACGACCTCCGGTGGAAGTACCTACTGCTGGCACTCTTAGTGGCAGCAACGAAGAGGGCACAGCCAGATATTACCCGGAGAGCAGACAGGGCAAATTGATTCAAGGTTCGAGTCCCAGCTGAGAAGTTCGAAAAAGAACTGTTTTCACTAAATACAAAAATTTAATTCTTTCTTTTACCATTGTTTCAGTAAACAGAACTTCATGCAGGGGCCGATCTAGGATTTTCTCCAGGGAGGGGCCGGATTTGCCAGAAAAATTCAAACATTTTGTTGACTTTTTTTAGGTCAACCACATTGATTTTTTGAGCACTCCTAGAATTCTGACCAAAAACTGCGTTTTTTCTGCGCGCGTTCCGCTTCAAAATCAGTTTATAGTGGAGCCCAAGGTGCCATTAGAAAATTTTAGGGTTGATCGACCGAAATTACGTCTCAAAAAATAATACCAAAGGGTGAGCCTTTGTCGTACAGTGCTAATTCAGTTCATGAGAGTCTAAGTTCTATCCGCCAATCAGTTGTCAAATATAGTGCTAATTAGTCTACTGGCAGGTGCTGACCTTGGTATTGTCTGTCACACTTGGTTGACCTCTATCGTCACTCTTAGCAATAACTTTGTGAGATTAAGTGACTACTCATCGGAGTTTACTTATTGATTGAATCACGTTTTCAACACCTTTTTGAGAGGATCGAACCCGTGCCAAAAGGGCGTTCGCCCCCAGTCCCCCCTTAATCCGCCCCCGATTTCATGAGTCCTGTTGGCGAGGTAAAATTGGATGAACAATATTGATTTTTTTTGCTCTTAAGAATATTTCAACTATCATATGCACTGAACTTAACTCATCGTTAAGAAAATCATCGTTCAAAATTTTATTGAGATTTAATCTTAATTAAAATCACAAATCTGAAACAATACGGTTAAAAGGCATTTTTTGACCGCTCACCTGAAGTCTTCGCCCGTAATGAAACTTGTTTCTTAAATCCTTATTTACAAAAAATAAATTCGTTCTTCAACAAATATTTCAGAAATGCCACCGAATAACCACGGAAGCAACATGTCTCAAAGCGACAACAACACTTGCCTACGAATCTCTCTTTCCAGATTGGGAATGGCGGGAGTAGGTGGAGGCAAAGGCAGCCAAATGGGCACTAACAGATCCGAATCTAAATTAGCCGCAATTGCATTTGGCTCTCGTCCCATGGTGGTTGAAAAGAGGATAACAGTACCAACTCCATTGACTCGGGAACCCGTCACGTTCGATCATGATTTCAACTGAGGCTCACTCCAAAATCAACTTAAGTGATTTAGACACAATCTCAAACCCTTAAAGTAGTTAAATTGTATATCGTTGAACAATTTACCACTTTGAAAAATCTCATCAATGCCAACTTCTTGAGATCGTAGAAACAGCTTTTCCGCTCCTCCTCCAAATTGCAAACCGTCCATTTTTATATGGCCTTACGTTTTATTAAGGCTAAATGCGTGACGTTATGAATTAAGGTATGAAGAAAAAATGTTCCCACAATAGTTGGTTTGTTCATCATGCGAAAATTCATTACATAATGACTACGTTAAATAGAAATTGAAATTTGAATTACTTTACCAGCTACATATACAACGCCAAAAGCAATATATTATGCCTGGAGGGAGATCCTAAAGAGCAGTACTGCTCATCGAGTAGGATATCCTGGAGAGTAAAGAGAAGGCAGCCAGCATCAACTCAAAAAACAAATTAAATTAAGGGCTGAAATTGAAAAACAGTTTGTAGAGGTCCTGATTGTCTTTAAGGTAAGTTTGAAAAAACTGTTTATAGAGTGTCAAACAACTAACTTCTGACATTTCATGTATTTTAACAGGTATGCAAACATTTTGTTTTAAATAGTTAAAAGCCTGCACAATTCTAACTGTAAGCGATCTCTGTTTAGCGGTAGTAGAAAATTTTGACACTTTAATTACGCCTTTCGCTTTGCTCGTGGTACATGGTCCACTTTTTTGGGAGTAAATCTGAGACAGAAAACTATTTTTTGTCCAATCGCAATTCCATAAACAAGTACTTGAACATCTCAAAAAAGTATAAATCAAAAACAGTAAGCAATTCGTTTTCGTCCATAATTTCTTTATTTGACTCATATCTACGTTTGAAAAAAATGCTCTCAAGATTCTTTTTTGTAGTTTCATTATCTCGGTAAGCCGAGATTGGGATGTTTTGCCGTATAATAAAATTCCATAAGTGGTTGTAGGATTTAAATATGCTTTGTAGAAACGAAGCATCTGCTGTTTAGAAAAAACATACCTAGCTTTCCAGACAATGCCACAAAATTTAGTTAACTTTTTGCACACAGGTTCAATGTAAAAATTGAAAGTAAATTTCCTATCAACAAAAACGCCTAGATATTTACACACTTTTGTAATTTGAACTGTAGTACCAAAAGCAAAGTAATCTTTTGAAAAGTTATTACCAAATTTCATTATTTGAGTTTTACCAGGATTGACGCAAAGTCCTTTCGTTTTGAATCATCTATTCACTTTATTTAACGAACTATCAAAGCTATCGCATCAATTTTTTTCTGCATTGCAGATTGTAATATTATCAGCAAATAGAACAAATTCAGATCCTTCAGCATTTTTCGGATGATCATTTATTTATATTAAAAACAAAAACGGACCTAAAACTGACCCTTGCGGTACTCCACATGACATAGAGCGACTAGAAGATATTTTATTATCAGTTTGAACAAATTGAAACCGGTTTGTAAGATAATTTTTCAGAAGACAAAAATTTCGGCCTCTAAAGCCGTATTTTTCCAATTTTGCCAAAAGAAGATAATGATTTATGGTATCAAATACTTTTTTGAGATCATAAGGCATGATTGACTGACCAATTTTTTGTCCCATCGTTCTCTAATAATTTTGGCGAATTCGATTAATGCGTCTACGCATGACTTTTTCTTTTGAATTCCAAATTCTTTTTCATAAAGTATCTTCTGCTTGTTAGCAAAGTTATACAATTTATTGAATTTTATCCTTTCAAAAATTTTGCTGAGTAAACTGAGTGAACTAATAGGTCTATAATTTTACAAACCTCCCTTAAAAATGGGAATAACTTTTGCCATTCTTAAGCCTTGAGGAAAATAACCACTCTTAACACATTGGTTGAAAAGGCTGCAAATTCTTACAGAAATTACAGGGAGCGATAATTTTATTATTTTGTTATTTATGCCATCTTGAACATTTGAACTTTTATTTTTCAACATATATATGGCATTTTCAATTTCTTTGTGGGTAATTTCATAAAAAACTAGTGATTTTTCGTTGCGATCTACATAACCCAACCCTTGTTTGTAATCAAATTCAGTATTTCTCAGTTTCTCGCCAATTGAGGCAAAAAATTCACTAAAAACATCAGCACTAGAAAAAAACTCGTGTTTTTGGAGTTTCCTTTGCAAAATTCATTAAAGGCCTGGAACAGCGTTTTCGAATTTCGACAATTTCTAGCTTTTTTGTCGTAGTAAATCCTTTTTCAATTCTTATTACTTTGGTTGCCAAATTTCTAGCTTGACAATATTTCAATTGAATCAATTCAGTAGGATGTTGTACCCACTTACTGAAAAGCCGATCGCGGTTTTTAAGGATCTTTTTGGTTGAATCGGTGACCCATGACTGTTTTTGTGACTTTGATTTTAGGTTTCGGGGAAGTGGAAAAGAGCCTCTAAAAATTTATATTAAATAAAGAGCAGAGCGCGCTATTGACGCATAATATACAATAGCTTGCTAGCATAATGTATGTGTACTAACCTTCTTTTGTTCCAATCCAACTCGTAAATAACAGTGCTCATTTGGTTCACAAGCTGTAGCATTGAAAAATGTGCAGCAAATGTTCTCTGCTTTATTAGTGACTAGTGTTTGTGATTGTTTGAGCTTCGTGGCTGAGTGGCTAGTGCATGAGACTCATTAACTAGGGAAAATTTACTACTTAGAGGCTTCTTTCTACTTTTTTTCATTTCACTTTTTAGAGCCGCTTTTCTGTCGCGTTCTTGCTTGTGTTTGTGAAGCGCAGCTTTGCTCTGCACCTAAATTTCTGCCGAGCTTAACCAGTATCTAAAAAAATGAAAAAAAAAACTCTAACATGGAATTTTGTGGTCTATAATATTATTAACGTAATCGATTCCCATGATGCACTCTGAAAACAAAATGCAATAAGCAATCGAATAAAGTCCCTTGTTTTTTATCAAACTTGAATTATTTTTTTAATCCATTTAAAATCAATTAAAACAGATTGTATTCCACTTTAATTTTGTAAAGCAACGTGCAAAAAATTGCAAGAAGTTCTGCATTTATTAAATTAGTAATGTGGAAATTTTGCAAAGCAAGTGTAGTGTACGGCCTAGAGGGGCTAGTTAAATCTAAGTAACATTTTTAGTAACAAAAATCAGTATTGCGCCCAAAAGAAAAAAATGAACAACAAATGACCAACTTTGTTATAAAACAGAAAAAACTGCATCTCAAAAAATGAAAAAAAAAAAATTTAAATGGTGTTTCCTTGACCGCTCGCCTGAATTCTTCGCCCGTAATGAAACTTGTTTCTTAAATCCTTATTTACAAAAAATAAATTCGTTCTTCAACAAATATTTCAGAAATGCCACCGAATAACCACGGAAGCAACATGTCTCAAAGCGACAACAACACTTGCCTACGAATCTCTCTTTCCAGATTGGGAATGGCGGGAGTAGGTGGAGGCAAAGGCAGCCAAATGGGCACTAACAGATCCGAATCTAAATTAGCCGCAATTGCATTTGGCTCTCGTCCCATGGTGGTTGAAAAGAGGATAAGAGTACCAACTCCATTGATTCGGGAACCCGTCACGTTCGATCATGATTTCAACTGAGGCTCACTCCAAAATCAACTTAAGTGATTTAGACACAATCTCAAACCCTTAAAGTAGTTAAATTGTATATCGTTGAACAATTTACCACTTTGATAAATCTCATCAATGCCAACTTCTTGAGATCGTAGAAACAGCTTTTCCGCTCCTCCTCCAAATTGCAAACCGTCCATTTTTATATGCCCTTACGTTTTATTAAGGCTAAATGCGTGACGTTATAAAATAAGGTATGAAGAAAAAATGTTCCCACAATAGTTGGTTTGTTCATCATGCGAAAATTCATTACATAATGACTACGTTAAATAGAAATTGAAATTTGAATTACTTTACCAGCTACATATACAACGCCAAAAGCAATATATTATGCCTGGAGGGAGATCCTAAAGAGCAGTACTGCTCATCGAGTAGGATATCCTGGAGAGTAAAGAGAAGGCAGCCAGCATCAACTCAAAAAACAAATTAAATTAAGGGCTGAAATTGAAAAACAGTTTGTAGAGGTCCTGATTGTCTTTTAGGTAAGTTTGAAAAAACTGTTTATAGAGTGTCAAACAACTAACTTCTGACATTTCATGTATTTTAACAGGTATGCAAACATTTTGTTTTAAATAGTTAAAAGCCTGCACAATTCTAACTGTAAGCGATCTCTGTTTAGCGGTAGTAGAAAATTTTGACACTTTAATTACGCCTTTCGCTTTGCTCCTGGTACATGGTCCACTTTTTTGGGAGTAAATCTGAGACAGAAAACTATTTTTTGTCCAATCGCAATTCCATAAACAAGTACTTGAACATCTCAAAAAAGTATAAATCAAAAACAGTAAGCAATTCGTTTTCGTCCATAATTTCTTTATTTGACTCATATCTACGTTTGAAAAAAATGCTCTCAAGATTCTTTTTTGTAGTTTCATTATCTCGGTAAGCCGAGATTGGGATGTTTTGCCGTATAATAAAATTCCATAAGTGGTTGTAGGATTTAAATATGCTTTGTAGAAACGAAGCATCTGCTGTTTAGAAAAAACATACCTAGCTTTCCAGACAATTCCACAAAATTTAGTTAACTTTTTGCACACAGGTTCAATGTGAAAATTGAAAGTAAATTTCTTATCAACAAAAACGCCTAGATATTTACACACTTTTGTAATTTGAACTGTAGTACCAAAAGCAAAGTAATCTTTTGAAAAGTTATTACCAAATTTCATTATTTGAGTTTTACCAGGATTGACGCAAAGTCCTTTCGTTTTGAATCATCTATTCACTTTATTCAACGAACTATCAAAGCTATCGCATCAATTTTTTTCTGCATTGCAGATTGTAGTATTATCAGCAAATAGAACAAATTCAGATCCTTCAGCATTTTTCGGATGATCATTTATTTATATTAAAAACAAAAACGGACCTAAAACTGACCCTTGCGGTACTCCACATGACATAGAGCGACTAGAAGATATTTTATTATCAGTTTGAACAAATTGAAACCGGTTTGTAAGATAATTTTTC